GAAGCTTAGAGCCAACCCCCAAGCTTCCTCTTTCATTTGTTGAAACGAGATCAACAGGTGAACATTCTCTTTAGGCATAAGACCCCAAGCTTAGCCTATCTTATTTACCTAACCCAACTTAGGTAGATGAGCTTATATCATCGAGTACGAACTTGATGATTGCTTCTTGATCTGTAGTTCCAAAATTGCAAATCATTTCTCTCTTATACATGACGTGTGGAGCCTCCTCAAAGCTCCAAACACTTCATTGTATAAATCTTATATCCTCAGGATGAAAATCCTAGGTTCATTTTATTGCGCTTGTTGACACAAAATCAACAAGTCGACATCATTCTTTTCCTTCCTTGGATATGTTAACCTGGGTTTCTCTAAAATCCTAAATGCATGCCAAGAGACCTTGCCAAATTCCAAGTTCTTCTATCTTTTGTTTGTTGGAAACATAAAATCAACAAGCAACTACCTCCTTCGCACATTGTTTGGGACTTCCTCAAAGTCCCAAATGCTTCATTGCATAACTCTTATAAGCTTAGGATGAAAATCCTAAGTTCATGTTTTCTTGCTTGTTGGTACAAAATCAACAAGTTAACACTATCCTTCCATCCTATTCATTGGAACACAAAAAGTCAATAAATAATCCTCCCAAACATAGGACTCAAACCATGATTTTCTCCATTCACTTAGCCTAAATTAAGTGGATGATAACCTATCTTTGGATACCAAATGTCCAAAGTGTATCTTCAATTAGCAACTTTTACGTTGCATTCTAATCATCTTCTCCTATGAGCCAAGATTATAGCAGAACTTGTAAACCTTCTTTCATCCTCCCAAATCCTATATCCCTTTTCTTTGAATATCAAATATTCAAAGAAACATTCAAGAAATTTTGTAACTTCCAAGTTACATCTCCTCCCTTTAACCCCAAAGTTTTGTGGAGTTTGTTAGATCATTTATTAAGTCAAAGCTTGATAGAAGATCTTTTGTCCCTTAACCTCAAAGTTATGGAAGAGTTTGCAGCCAACAAAATTCTCTTGTTTGGTAAAAATAACTCATATTCCTATATCGAATATATGAATGTTAATCTCATTTCTTTCCCATTCTCCCAACCCATGTTGGGTGAATGAGCCCTTTTCTTTGGGCACCTAAAAACCCAAGGAACCCTCATGATGCGTATGCAAATCTACGTGCCTCATTCTCATATGTACCCAACACAAGTTGGGGAGATGATTTCCTTCAAAGTTGTAGGAAATATTAAAGTCCTTATTCATCCTCTCAAACCCAAAATTTGGCGAATTTACATCTTCCACTTAAATATCAAACGTTCAAGGGATTTTCCCTCAACTTGCAACCCATAAGTTGCTTGTTTTTTCCCCCTTTCTACAACTCAAATATTGTAGGAAGGTGCTCCCATTCTCCTAAGCTAAACTAGGAGTGTATATTCTTCTTTGAGTGTTAAACATTCAAAGAACTTCCAAGAGTTTGCAACTTCAAGTTGCATCTTGTCCTCTTTCATCCCTTTAACCCAAGTTGGAGGAATGAATCTCCTCTCTTTAAACACCAAACGTTCAAGGGATTTCCAGTTGCAACCTCTAAGTTGCATTTCCTCCACCATCTTCTATAAACCTAAATTATAGGAGAACACTCAAACTTCCTTCCACTCTCCTAAACCGAAATTAGGAGGGTGTATCCCTCTCTGCAAACATCAAATGTTCAAAGAGCATTCAGAAGTTTACAACCCATAAGTTGCACCTTCTTTTCTCCTTCTACAACTCAAAAGGAATTGTAGAGATCCCTCTCATCCCACTAACTCAAGTTAGAGGGGTGAATGTCCCTTTCTTTTTGAACACTAAAATGTTCAAAGAGATCTTTCCGCCTTGCAACGTCCAAGTTGCATTTCCCCATTTCTTCTCTACAAACCAAAATTGTAGAGAAATCCTCTCTCCCTACAATTCGAGAGTTGTAGTAAATTCCGGCATTCACTCAACGAACATTGAATGAACCAAATCTGTCTGCTTATTGATGTCAAAACCGACAAGTATTCTCATCTTCCATTTCTTTCCTCCAACCCAAGTTGGAAGAACGGATTCCGTTATTTGGACGACACCCAAAAGTCCATATAACTCGTGATGACTTGTAACCAAAATTACAAGTCATCCCTCTTTTCTTTGGGCTCCAAAAGGTCTAAGGAATTCTCTCAACCTTAGCCTAAAAGTTATGAGTTTAATCCATCTCTCCTCCAACTTCCAAGTTGTACGAAATTTTCCCTCTCTTTAACTCCAAATGCTAAAGGGAGTTCTCCAATATTTAGCCCCAAAGTTAAATGTTGCAGTCATGTATTCTCTTTATAGACCTAAAAGTTAGTGAAAACCTTCCAACACTTGGCCCAAAAGCTATGTGGACTCCCTTTCCCTCCTTTAGCCTCAAAGCTAAAAGAAGTATCAATTACTCTTTTTGCTCCAAAAGCTAGGGGGGATTCTTCCAATATTTAGCTCAAAAGTTACATATTGGACACCTCTTCTTTAGATTCAAATTATAAGTGAAGTACCCTTAGTGTGACATACCACACAAGTCTCACACACTTAGGTGCACAACTCCTTAGGCATGCTAGGATTATGATTTTTCTTTGTGTGCGCATGTGATTGATGACTTGGTGTGAATGCTCTTTTGGATTGTCTGTGTTGTGGGCACTTGCTCTTAAGTGGTTAGTGTAAAAATATATACATGCTTTTTTGTGCAGGTGGCCATGTCCAGAAGGGGGTAAAATAAGTCATGATTATTTTAATACTATTTGCTTGAAGGCGCTGCTTAAAACCCCCCAAGAGGCATGGACAATAGGGTAGGAGCAGATGCTTGACACTCTAAGTGCTAGGCAAATTTTGGATGTGATGTGATTATCATATAAATTATCTTCTAACTCTGTTTTGCAGACTTGAGTCTTTTTCATTTTCTATCATGTATTTGATTAGATCTAGGATGTAAAACTTGTGGGGTTTGGACTAGAAGGAAATGTGGATCGAGGAGGGATGTACTCTTTTGGAGGTGAAGCCTAAAGGTCCACTTGAGAGTTAAAGTTTGAAGACCCCCACAAGTAGTCTGTAATCTATTAACTGAGTTGTATAATGACAGACAACTCAGTTGCCAAAACTGTTTGTAATAATTGGGATATTACTTGCACTTTTAATTTAGTTTATTCACATGCATGTGTTGTTTGTTTACTAGGTGCGCAAAAGAATAGCATGTTTTTCCTAGTTTTTTTCTATTTTTTGTTTGGTTGTGGCCTAAACTGTTTCATGTGGTAGGCTTTTAGGACAAAATAAGCTTTATACCCATTAAAATATAATTAATCTAAAAATTGATTTAGGATCCATGATTTTTTAATAAAAGAAAATTGCATGGCTCCCTTTTAATGAGCCAAGTTTTCCAAATTTAAAACAATCATGCATGGACAAAGATGTCTTATGTAGAAAAGTCCCCACTTAAGGATTATATAACAAAAATCTACTTTCTTTGTGAGTCACCATCTACATACCCTACTAACACAGACATCTTGACCTCGAAGCCAAGTTGTAAGCCCTACTTTCTAAATAAAACAACCCTCTACTCCTCATATGCATTGAGACCAGAAAACATGATTTTAAAAGCATTTAGGTGGGTCTAGCTGGTAGTCTTTTCCAGGCAGGATAATAAATCCATAAGTCGGGCTAGCTATAACTCATGTGAGGTGTAGCTTATAAGTCCATTTTGCATTCCGTTAGATTTAGGTTCAAGGCATTACTTCTCGGTAGTTCTCACTTTAGTTTTAGGATCCGAGGCAAATGGTTGATTCCAATCAACATATAAGTCCTCATCTTCCGGGTAATTCCTCCAACATGTGTTGTTGGAATGTAAGCCCCAACCTTCTAATGAAAATGTCAACTTAAATAAAAATTAGATTTCTGAAATGTAAAGTCCAATATAGGATAGTCCGAGCACCTCTGAGATTTCTCAGAATCAAGTGCTCCTATTTCACCTTCTTTGGCTCTCATTCCAAAATCTGATTCTAAGTTGATTAATTTTTCCTTGAATCTCCTAAAGGCCAAAACCTTTAAGCAAGACTTTAAATAATTCAAAAAAATTAAACTTTAGCCAATATTTGAGTGACTCTCAAAATGAAGAAAACTACTAGTTTAATCAAAAGTCTTCTCAAGTCAAAGCTTGATATAATTAATCATAGGGGCTTGCCACTATGGGACGTCTGTACTCCAAAAATAAATAAACCCAGGGGAATCTCTGTTTAAAATCGTAAATTTTATCATTGAGTTTATAAGAAAATAATATTTTTATCCTTTGGAATAATATATCATCATTGTTATGCCGTACTCAATCATAAAGTATGCAATCCGTTTGAGGATAACAAAAATTCTCCAACAATCTTCTCCTTATTTTTATTGTATATGCATCGAGAGTAATGTATTGGTGCTTAACATACATCTCTTATTGTCTTTTATGTATTATTCAACACCAAATGAACATGCACAGGAGATTTTTGAAATGAAGAAACCAAGTTGTTTCTGAAATAAAATATCTGGACAACTGTAAAAATTAAAGAAACAGAATACTGAGGATGGGGCAGGTTTTGGAGTTGCAATTATAGAATTGAATAGGGGAAGTGATATCTTTTGGAAAAGGTCTAGATGGGTTATTTATAAGTTCAGGTTTTGATCTGGGGTTTTCCCTAAAAGATGAAATAATAATTGCTGATTTTACAACTATGGTAGCATTTTTATGCTAAATGGAAAAAATAAAGCCTTGAATATATATATTTTTTAAAAACTTTTTATATCATTATATTTAGGCGTGTTACTATTTGATACAAGTTGTAAACAGGATTAATTACTAATTTCATGTAGGAAAAGTTTTAAAAAATTTTATGAAGTATATGTGCACAGGGTATTATTTGTATGGTTGGCTTACATTTGGGTAAATGTTAATTAAGAACTTACTTTCCGCAAAAATATTTTTAGGGATCTTGGCTGGCAACAGCGGTATGCACGATTTTACGGCAGGATTGTGGTTCTTTCAGTTATTACTCTAATTCTTTATCCTTTTCTTTGGGTTTGGACTGTGGTAGGCACATTATGGTTCACCAGTGCAAATAGCTGTGTAAGCTTTTTTTATTCTTGTCTGAGTTTCACATTTAATAACCATACACAAAATTTCATGGTTGTCTAATAATTGTCATAATTGTTATTAATGGTTGCAGTTGCCAGAGCAAGGGCAAAAGTGGGGTTTTCTTATTTGGTTGGCTTTCAGCTACTGTGGTCTGCTGTGCCTTGCTTGCATGTCTGTTGGAAAGGTTCTTGATTCTTTAACCTTTAGGAATTTGATCCCTGATTCTTGAATTGAAAGTAGTTCCTTTTCTTTATCTAAAGGGATAGCATGTTGTATTCTGTCTTATCTTTGTTTTTCTTTTTTGGGTATTGAAAAACTTTTTTTGTATTCAGTTTTGTTCAAGAGGAGAAGTCTTGTGCAATTATTTTTTTAAATTATACAAATACTTTCACTGAACTTGTCTCTATTATGCACGAGTTCTACATCTATGTCAACTTAATGGTTGCACTTAACTTAAAACAACTTGGGGGAGCAGAAGGCAGCAGCGGTGTAAATTCAATTTCTTTAATTGCTTGGGTCACCGAAAAATAAGCTGGTAACTCTTTGAACCCAGGTTATTTTTTAAAAGTAAGTTGAATAATACTTAGATTTCTTTAAGGTTAGTGGGCCGTGGATAGCGTTTTGGTTTGTGGCTGTGTAATCAGGCAGTTTTCTAGTCATATTCAGCTTGGTAGGCTTTTGAGACTATCATTCAAGTTGGGTTGGTTAGTGCCTTTGTTTTTAGTGGACTGGTGCGCTAAACTGGTGTAAACTCTCACATTGTCACTTATCAACATTCATGTTCAATGTACTGTTTGGCATAAGAAATTCCTAAAAATGGTGCAATAAACCTGTGTATTTATAAATGAATTGCAACTCTTTAAAAAGAGTTTTTTTGGAAGTTGCTTTCCTTTCTCATGGAAAGCTGCTATTTCTGTAATTAAGTTATAATGAAAAAGTTATACCTTAAATTCTCATTTAAAATTAAGGCATTAAATACAAACCAAAATTATTATTTTTGATGAGGATTTTTTTGGTTGAATACGGATATCATGTTATTTTTATTTGTTCCTGCTTGCTTCGGAATCAGTATTAGAATAAAGAATATGCAATTCCTTAAATGCCCAATGCTTTCTTTTTTTATGCATATCAACTTATAGAGGAAGGATTTTAAAGTTCTAATAAACATTTTTCCTTTTTCATCTAAAATGAAGGCTTGAAATAAATACCAAAACCAAGGTTCTTGACGAGGAAACTTCTTTTGTCCAGTTCAGCCATATATTTTGTTTGTATTTGTCTGCTTGCTTGCCATGAAATCAATATTATAAGAAATACAGAACTTGTTGTTAACCCGTATAACAAAAAAAAAAAAAAAAAAAAAAAAAAAAAAAAAAACAATCAAATCCCGACACCTTACCTCCGCACGTCGTCAACACCTTCGCACGTCGCTCCTGCACGATCCCTCACGCGACATTAAGTAGCCAAAGAGAAGAGGCATTCGGCTGGCTCTAGACTCATTCTCTCCCGATCCCGCTCTCTCTGGCTCTCTCTCGTTCTCTCGACTGCTCCCTCGACGACGTTTCCTTCTGGGAAGCTCGGAGGTTACGACATTCAAATCGGAAGCAACGAGGGAGTTCGCCGGCTGTGAAAATAACCTTCTACCTTTCGTGCGCTTCTTCTATTCCCTCCTCCGACGTCCCCTTCCTGTAGGATCGAAAGTTATGACAGTTTGATCGGAAGCATCTACTGGAGCTCGCCGGCCGTGAAAGACATCTTGATCGGAAGCAACCAGGGAGCTCGATGATGCTGTTCTGGTACGGGTACTACTGAAGGCCCCATACACGCTCTTGTAGCGTGGTGGGATGAAATTTCTACGGCCGCGGTGTCTACGTACACCTACCATACACGCTCTAGCAGCGTGGTGGGAAGGCCCAGCTCCCCTATTTTCCCCCAAATGGGGGATATGTCGGGGTGCTGTCGAAATTTTCACTAAAATGTACAAAGACTTGAACAATTTGAAGACCTTCTTGGGCAACAATATAGAAGACCTGTACTCGAACAAAAATACACATAAATTGAACTAAAATGAGCAGAGGACCTGTACGATGAACAATGGACTTGTGGACCTAAATATGAACAAAATTCTATATGATTTTTAAAGGTCAAATTCAAATAAAATGAAACCAAAATCAAATCATTTGAACAAGAAAATGAACTTGCAAAGAACTTCAGAGGACCCTGGACAATCAATTTGAACTTGTTCCTGGAACTCGAACTGTGCAACATCAGGGGACCATAGAACCCAAACTTGAATAAAATGTGGACAAAGGAAACTCGTACTTGAGTTCGGACTTAAACTTGTGAACCTTTGAGTATAATTTGAACTTGACTAAATCACAAGCAAGGGAACTCAAGTTCAAATGAACTGAATGCAAGATAACTCAAGCTTGAACAAACTATGAACAATCAATTTGAACATGTACTTTGAGCTCGTATTTGAACTCGGGCTATACGACATCAAGTGGGGACTTGTAAACTTGATGAATTCAAGTCTGAATGAAATTGAATTTGGATCCAAACACATGCAAAGATCAAAATTTGGATCACACACAGGAAACTTAAACTACAAGACCTTGGTGTAACGAACTCCTACAACAGTTCCTACGAAGTCAAATGCGCCATGCCTGTTTATTGAGATGGCGATACAGGAGACCAATGATGGAGGATCCGCCTCCCTACAAGCAAATACATCAAAACACCCACCTGAGATTGGTGAAAGGTGGATATGATGTAGGGACAACTGCTCTTCTACAAATACATCTAGAAGGTCGTAGTGGATACAACAATCTTCCGCCAGCAAACACAAGTAACTTGTGGATAACAACAGCGGGTACTTCGTAAGGACAACGAACCACTGTGGGCACAAGTATAAGTATCTCCTACGACGATCCCTACGAGGTCAAATGAACTATATTGGCCAACAACAGTTACAAGTTGCAGAGTTCATATACGACTACCATATGTGCTAATATGATCCCCAATACAAACAAGTGCCTGTTGATTGAGAAGGCAACACTACTACTAGATAGTCAAAGACCCATCCTCTATAAATAAATCCAGACATCAGACCACCTGAGATCGGTGAAAGGTGGATGTGATACTGATATAAATAACTCTCCTACGAACACCTCCAAGAGGTCGTAGAAATACAATGGGTCCATGCAAATGAGCACAAACCACTTGTGGATAACAACAATGGATATATCGTAAGCACGACGAACCACTGTGGGCACAAGTACAGATATCACCTACGACAGTGGTGATCAAAGTACTGTCAGTACACCGGGTACAAAGGCAAATCGATGTACGAAAAAGGACACCCCTGGCGGAAGGGAGAAAATGTTTGAACAAATTAGAACCAAACTTCCTGGTGTTCCAAAGTCTCTTCTTAGTTCTATATTTAAGAAGAAAACAGCTCTGGTACTCACAAATACCGGAAATAACAAGTCCACTACACCGAAGAGCCTAAAAAGAGTTCTTTCCAAATCAAAGCGACGGACTTCAAAATCCAGAAAATAACTTCCCCGGTGATTGAGAAAGGGGGGAGTTAATATCAAGACTAGAACGCCATCAGATCTGCAACACTTATGAAAGCAGGCAGAAGGCGTCTACAATCTACAACGCACGCCACTTGATCCGCAACATTCGTACTAACGGACAAAAGGCGTGTATAAGCTCTCAAATGAAAAGTTGTGCGCACTCAAATGGATATTACCTGCACAACTACAAAATATTTCAAAGTACTCCACACAAGTGCATCGTAGTTTGTATACACATAGGTACACAAGGGGTAAATTCAATCGTAACCCGCTTGGGCCCCGGCGAGCGTGTTATTGGTACACACGTGTCGCCTAGGGATGCTGCGCGGGTCGATAACTGAATTCTAGTTCGAACCTAATCCTTCTATACGGATCAATAGAAGTCGACAGGGTTCAAACTTTTAAACGAATACACGGTTGTGCGACCAGTGTATTTGTTTCAATACATTCATATTAGGCCTTCAAGGCCTACAATCAAGAAAAATCACAAACAAAGGCTTAAAGCCTATGAAACCCAATCCTCCTAAGTCGATAAATAGGAGTAAACAGGGTCCGAGATATCGGATAAATATGCGGTCACGAAAGTTGACCAGATATTTATT